AGAAGGTGATCTGGCCTCAAGCACATCGACGCGCCACATCACGCTCGGAGCACCCGGGACCGCCGGGACCGTCAGCAGCAGAGCGCAGGCGAGGCCTTGTACACGTTGGTGCGACAGTTTGGGCATATTCTTCGCAGGCAAGGCGGGGAGACCGGTCAGCGCTTCCTCTTGGATCGCAGCCGCACAAGACTATGACCGTTGGAAACAAATGGAGGAGGATTACGTTGAGTTCTGTAGGCGGTGAGAATGGCATCCACGGCTACCAACAGTCGAGCCTTGTTTGGGGGGCACGTGGCAATGCGCGACACGCACTGTCTGCATTCGACGTTCTTGCTTGCTCACCCTCTCCCAGCGAGGCCAGATCCTCCAGAGGGCCCGGCTGCCGAACGAGATCTTTGCCGAGGGCTTCGCGCAGCTGGGGGGGTCGCTGTTCGCGCTGACGTATCGTGACAGCCGCTCCTACTCTTTTGGGGGGGCGTGGCGGGGCCGCCGCGACAGCGACGGCCCCGGGGAGGCGGGAGGGCCATGCGGGGAGGGTGGGGGAAAAGGACTACCAGGATTTCCGCCATCACACGAGCGACGTAAACACAGAACAAACCCGATCGTTCACTACCAGTGGAGACCCATGCCAAGAAACAGCCTGCTTCTATCCAGGGTGCCCTGGGTTTCCTGGGTTTCGGTGGTTTTGCGATGGAGAGCGTGACGCTCCCACACCAGAAATCCATGGACGCCCTGGGGTCTTAGGGTTGAGGAGCAGCAGCAGCAGCAGCAGGAGGAGGAGGAGGAGGAGAAGGAGGAGGAGGAGGAGCAGCAGGAGGAAGAGCAGCAGGAGGAGGAGGAGGACGGCGTCGACGACGACGGCGAAGAGGGGCGGACGGAGGGGGGGCGAGGGGAGCCACGGCGGCGAGGAGGCACGGCGGGGACGCGGAGGTCGAGGGGGAGGGGGGGGGGGGGCAGGGGTGCCCCCCCCCCCCCCTCCCCTCTCCCCCTCGCCCCCCTCGCCCTCCTCCCCCTCGCCCACCTCGCCATCCTCTCCCTCCCCCTCCCCCTCGCCCCCCTCGCCCTCGCCCTCTTCGCCCCCCTCCTTCTCTCCCTCGCCCCCCTCGCCCTCCCCCCCATACCCCTCGCCCTCGCCCTCCGCGTCCTCCTCGTCCTCTTTGGCGAACTCGCCCTCCTCCCCCTCGCCCTCCTCCGCCCTCCCCTCGCCCTCCTCGTCAGGACTCGAACTGAACGGTGGTGTTCTGGCGATTTCGTGGACCGTGTGAGTTTTGACCTCGTGTTCAGCACAGGTGGATTGAAGACAGAACGAGCGAAAGCAAAAACATAACGAAAACGAACAACCCAGTTTACGTTTATCCCTGCTCCACCTTTCCCTCGCCCTCCTCGTCCTCTTCGCCCTCCCGGAGGCGAGCCTGAGACTCGGGCGTGGCAGTTTTGCCACGCCGGGCGCTTTCGCCAGGTGTCGGGCCCTGGGACCATCGCAGATCGATCCGGCTCGAGAAATGATGCAGAAAGATGGGGTTCCGAGCACTGGTGGTGATGTTTGGCGATGCTGCAGGTTCTCTCAATCGTCATGTGGTGTTGGGTCCTCGTTTCGGGGAGACAGTGCCCCGCGTCCCTTCCTTCCCGCTGCCCCCTCCTCCCCCTCCTCCCTCCTCCCATCCTTGCCTCTGCCCTCCGCACTAGTCAACCATGTCGGCGCACCCCTCACAGGAGCTTTCGTGGCCCCATAGGGAGCTCCACCGAAGGCCCCATTGGCTGCGTTCGCATGCGCCCACCGCGCCCATCTCAGCACACCCATCATAGGTTTCGTGGCATAGTCAGATTTGAGGGAGGATGGGGCGGACGGAGGATGGATGTCAAGAGGTCAGACGGGGGTTAAGAAAGAGGTTGAGGAGGTTGGTGGGAGAAGAGGGGAGAGACGAGGAAGCCAAGGTGGATTGAGGAGGGAGGAGCAGAGGGGGACGAGGGATGCTGACTCTTTGTTTATCAGCGTAACAGTCGGCCGACGTCAACCCTAAAGTGATCCGCGTGCCAGCACACCAGGAAGATGTTATTGACAGCACGCCCAGCTGAGGGAGGAGGAGGGTGGCAGAGGCCGGAGAGCGGATGGACTCCTGGCAGGAGTTTTTGGCGGTCGTGGAGGCATGTCACGGTGTGGCTAGAGGCGTCCACCAGAACAGAACCAAGCAGGGTAGAGGCAGCCAGAGGGGGCAGGGAGGAGGGGGGGGGAGGCCAGAGGGAGGAAGGAGGAGGGGTGGGTGCGAGGGGGGAGTGGGGGTCGGACGGGCTTGGGACAAAGTCAAAGCCGTTCCAGAGCATTCTGGAACGCTCTCAGAGCGTTCCAGAACGCTCTGAGAAGGCAGCGGCGCCCAAGACATCCTTCAGAGCTGTCGGATCTCAGAGATGTTCGATTTATCCTCGCCCGAATTTGTCCTCGTCCTGGCTTCGTCGCAGGTGGGGGACGGAGGAGATAGGCGGGGGGCGAATCGGTCCGAGTTACTTGTGCATCACGCTATCTTTCTCTCTTTCTCTCTCTCTCTCTCTCTTTTTTCTCTCTCTCTCTCTCTCTCTTTCTCCCTCGCTCTCCGACAGGCGGTGTGGGTGCCTTTGGCCCAACTCCAGGGTGGCCCCTCCCTCGCAATGCGTATACATCGAGGAGCTAGGATCGTCGCCAGCTGTTGCAACCGTACGTGGTACGCATCTGCATCCATGCCGGGTCTGGAACCTTTTATATGTATTACCTAGTGGCCTTCGGCTCAACTCGCACCCTGCATGGGCTTTGGGTCATTCCGATGGATGTTTGTCGGGGTCTCTTAGGATGCGTCTTGAGGGGCCTCTTTGGATGCCTTCCTCTTGGACACAGATGGTTTGTTTCATTTCATAAAATCGATCCCAGGGGCCTCTTGAGGCCTCTTGGGGGCCTGCGGGCGGTCTGGGGGGTCCTCTGTGGGCGGAGGTTTTGGAATGTCAGTTCGGGTTCCACCTTGTTGGGCCGTCTTGGGGCCCTCGTTGTCTGTCTCTGGGGCATCTTAGTTTATATGTGGGCCCTCTTGGGCCGTCCTTGGGCCATCTTAGGAGCCTTTTGGGGCGATCTTGGCGGCAGTTTGGGCCGTCGTAGAGCGTAGGAAGCCAGAAAAGGCGAGAACGCTAAAATCTGTCAAGCACCCCAGTGAAATCGATGATTTGTGCTTCTCCGCGCCTGTTGGGGGATACTCTTGCAGCCTTCTTGGAGCGTCTTGGGGGCGTCTCGGGCCATCAAGAGACCATCTTGGGCGTCTCGTGTCACTCTGAGGCCGTCTCGGAGCCTTTCTGGACCACCTTGGGAGCGTCGGAAGATGTCGTGCGAGAAACACCAAGAGGCAAGCGACAGTACGCGGCGCACCCGAGGAGATATGGCAATTTAGTGTCCAGGCTTCTGAATACATCCCCGGGACGAAAGTGTTTTCCTTTTGGGCCTGGAACGACGGTTTGAAGTCTTGAGCAGACGCGTATGAGTTAACCGCCGTCGGATCCCATGAAGTTCGCGCGGATCCAAATGTGGCCGTGGTGTTTGCTTCGTTGGATCCGATTTCCATCCGCGCGGATCCGATTTCGGATTTGTTTGATCCGTGTTCGGTCTTTATGTATTACGGCCGACTAGATTTTCACCCCGTGTCAAGTTCATATGAATAGAGTAAAACGGGGAACCGGAGGAAATCGGATCCGCTGACCCCCGAACCCGCCCTTGTTAAGATTCTACGGGGGAAGGGGGTTCGGTCATTGACTGCCAACTCATCATCGCCAGTTGCACCTCAAGAGGAAAATCTTTCGCAAGTAGTCATGGGTGTTCAGGAGTGAGAGCTGAGGGTCCACAGGACCTGAGAACACTCCAACTCGTGCCTCGCAACACGTTTGGCTGTCGTTCTTATATACACCATGAGCCATCTTGGCTGGCGCTAATCCATTCCCTTCCCCCTGACTGCAGGAGAGGGTGATCATAGAGTACGACCTCACCACATTCAAGGACTCCGTGGGTGACAAAGTGGTACGATGACACACGACATCACCTCCTCCTCCTCCTTCCTCCCTTTCCTCCTACTCCTCCTCCTCATGTAATTCGCACGCCAGGTTAAGCTCACCGCGCGAATGGAGCAACCTCGCTGGCCTGATCGTTCGGCGGGCTGCGGGGAAGTTGTTCCAACCGGCCAGATCGCTGCACTGCGGCATGATTGGGACAGACAGACAGAGAGCATGGACGCGATAGAGAGAGAGAGAGAGAACAACAAAACATAGACAGAGAGAGAGAGAGAGAAACATGGAGAGAGTGATAGAGAGAGAGAGAGATGAAGCCCCTCCGCCTCCTGCTTCTCATCCCCTGCCCCCCGCGGCAGCCACGCTTGCCCAGAACTCGCAGCCTGTGCATTCCCGCTACCGATATCCGTCGCGCGCTCGCGCGGGGATCGAGGAACAAATAACGACATACGAATAAACTTTCGGAGTTCCTCACGACTTTCTCTGATCGGCGTTGGCCCCCTCCCCCTCCCTGGCGTGCGGAGTGCGCCAGGGGCGTCGCTGGAGGCGCCGCCAGGGAGCTCCAGCGCCGATCCGAGAGAGTTCCGCGCGGACCTCCGAAAGTTTCTGCTTACCTCAGATCTGTGGCGTGTCGACGCGGCGGCGACCCCACCGCGGGCGTTGAACGTTGGACGCCACCAGCGGCCCAGGATCGGCCAGTATGGAACGAGCTGGCGATCGAGAAGCCGCCGACAGCTGTTCAAAGCTAGGCGATCCACGCGGTGTCAGAAACCACAGCTGGGGTCGTCACGCCGTACAGTGGAGACCCATGCCAAGGAACACCCTGCTTGCCTCCAGGGTGCACTGGGTTTCTTGGGTTTCGATGGTTTTGCTATGGCAAGCGTGACGTTCCCCCCCAAAACCCAGTGGACGTCCTTGTGGGAAGTTTCCTGTGGCCGAGCTCCCACTGCGTGTCGTCACTTGTTCCCCGAGGGAAGCCCCCGGCCATGGCGCTGGCCAAGCTCTGCCTCGCGGCCCTGGCGGGCCGCGTGGCCTACTCGCTGTCGGTGGCGATCGCGGAGCCGGACGAGCTGGAGGCGTGCCCGCGCGGCGGGGCCCCCGCGCGCGGCGTGGGCGGGGCGGGTCCTGTCCCGGCCCGGGAGGAAGGGGCAGGGGGAGTCAGAGGGTGGGCTTCCTCCTCTTCCTTCTCCTCCTCCTCCCTCCTCCTCCCTCCTCCTCCTCCTCCTCCTCCTCCTCCTCCTCCTCCTCCTCCTCCTCCTCCTCCTCAGCAGCAAAGTTTCTCGAGGGCCGTATGCGCCTGTCTGCGACAAGGTGTGCAGGAGTGCGGGCTCTCGCGCACTGATCTGGGGCGCCGCCGTCGCCGATGACGCCAGCAGGAGCGATTCGGCGCGCCTCAGGGAGGGGGTCGCAGACATGGATTCAGGGGGCGTGGATTAGCGACGGGTCCCGTTTCCAGATGAAATCTCTGATTGCCGCCGCCGAGCGAGGCACCACCGGCCGCACCTTGGGGAGAGCACCTCCCCCGATCCATGGATTTGGCGGCCGCGCGCCAAATCCATGGAGCGCTAGTGAATCCATGTTTGCGCGCCCCCGGCTCAGGGGGGGGCCTCTCCTCTCTCTTGCAGCGCCGTCGGGTGCCCCCATCCGCGCTCGCGCGCCCGCGGCCCCCCAGCAGCGGGCGGCACGGGCTGGCTCGAGTGCGGAGGCCCCCCCGCACGCCACCGGGAGACCCTTTCCAGAGGGGGTGTCAGCCTAATCTTCTTCCTCCTCCTCCTCCTCGCCGAGGTAGATCCGAGGGACCTGGGTCCTCCGATCTCGCGCGTCGTGCCCAGCGAGGCGCGAGCATCTCCGCGCCCCCCTCCGAAGGAGGGCAGCCCCTCTGCCCCCGAGCAGATGGGGTCGGAGGATCGCGCCGCATCGCCGACGCATCGCCGCTGCGGCTCGATGTGCAGCCCGATTGGCGTCACGTCGACGCCGCCGATGCATCGCCAACGTCGACGATGCAGCGCCGGTGCATCGCCGACGCATCGCCGATGCATCGACGGTGCATCGCCGATCCATCGACGGTGCATCGCCGATGTATCGGCGATGCGGTGCGATCCTCCGACCCCATCTACTCCGACCCCATCCAGGAGGCCTTCAGGGAGACCCTTCCCAGATGGAGGGAGAGGGGAGGCCGCCTAATCTTACTAATCTTCCTGCATTCCGACGCAGATCGTGCAGGAGAGGGGGAATGAATGGGTTGAGCGACGGGGCCATTTAAGGGATGCCGTCGTGCTTGCGAACGATGTGGTACTTGGCCTGCTTCGGCGTACATGGCGTACTCTGTCGGTAACGCTGTAGACGAGGTAACGCCGTAGCCTCCGGGTTGAAAAGAGTGTAGTTGTAGCTGGAGCGGTTTGGCTTAGGTTTGGCCGTTCTCACCAGAATCGTCGCGAGATGCCACACGAAGAGCATGTGGTAGTTCCTGCACGGCGGTAAGCCAGCCTCTCATGCGGCGGCACGCAATGGCGATCGGCGATGCGCTCTTTGTGCTCGTAGGAGATGCGCCCCGCCTCGCGGACGCCGTCCATATCGCGGATCCGCAGTTGGTGGTTTCTGTCCCGTTCTTCTTGGTAATTGGTTGCAGCAGAGCTCTTCTGGTGGCCGTCGTAGCTCAGCCGGTTGTCTAGCCCGGGCGGCCCTCGGATCTCTGCTGGCAGCTCTCGCAGCTTCGCCGGTGGCACTCGCAGTCCCGCCGGTGGCCGGGAGGAAACTCGGGCTGCAGCCCTCGCGGTTCGGCTGCTGGCCCTCCTAGCTCCGCAGCTGGCCCGGGCAATGTCTGCTACTGACCTTTGCACGGCCATCCCCAACATCCCCCACCACCGATGCAACAATCCCAAAGCCGTACCCCGTCGTATAGCGCCGGGTAAATCTCGTACCGTAATGGCAATTGTGATTGAGCCAACCACGTATTGTAAGAGAGACCGTGTAGTTGATGTATCTTGGTGGCCCTGGCAGTTCCGCAGGTGGCACCCGAAGCTCTGCCGGTGGCTCCCTCGAAGCTCTGCTGTCGGGGGAGCGTAAGACTCGGGCAAGCCGGAGCTCGGGTCTGCCGACGTTTTAATTGACGAGCGCGTCCTGGATTTTGACGGTCCAGTTGTCGTGGGATGTTTTCAGAGCCCCGAATCATCAGGGGTAACTCGGGTCAGGGATAACTCGGGTTCCTTTTTCGGGAATCCAAACCCGAGTTACCCCGGACCCGAGTTATCCCGGATAACTCGGGCGCCCAATGTTTGCAGTGGGAGCTCGCGTCAAACTTCAGATTGCGTCTCGTCATTTTTATGATGGACCCCGTCAGGCCAACCCGCGTCCCCCGTACCCGAGTCTTACGTCTCCCCGATGTTGGCAGTCCTTGAGGAGCAGGGGGGGTGGTTAACTCGCAGCTCCGTGTGCCCAGGTCGCGCCCAGCGGGGGGGGCCAGAAGAGCTCCGCTCGGTGTCCGTGCAGCTCTGCCCGTGGTTCCGTGGCATTTTTGCTGGTGGCCCTGGTGGCTCAGCCTGCTTCTTGGGGCAGCTACGGACCCAGACCCCCGACGTCATGATTTTTTCACTACGTCGTCCCCGAGAGTTCCCGACCCTGTCCCCAGGACCGGCTTTGGATCCTGAGTCGTTTTTTGGCGCTCCCGAGGCCCCGGCGAGGCCCCGGCGAGGGCCCCCAGAGGCCGAAAATTAGAAAAAGCCTCCCGTCATGATTTGTGTCATGACTCGAGTTGATCTGGGGAGGGGTGCGCGGCAGCTTCCACTTGGTCATTTCCAGGGCCGCGTGGTGGTAGCAGCGTCGCCCCTGCTGGTCAAGGTAGCTGTTCCAGCCTGATGGCAGGGAGGCTGGCGCCTGCAGCTCTCGTAGCTCAGCAGGTAGCACTCGTAGTTCAGCTGGTGGCCCTCGGAGCCCTGCCTTTTGTCCTCTAAGCCCTGCTTGCGACCCTGGTAGCTTAGCGCGTGGTCCCAGTAGCTCAGCAGGTGGCCCTCGTAGTTCAGTTGGTGGCTGTCCTTGCTCAGCAGGTAGCCCTTGCAGTTCATCTCGTCGCCCTGGTGGCAATGCGGGAGGCTCTCGTAGTCTTGTTGGTGGCCCGCGTAGCTCAGGTAGTGGCCCTCGTAGCTCCGCCTGTGGCCCTCGTAGCTCATCTGGTGGGTCTCGGGGTTTCGCTTCTGGTCCTTGCAGTTCAGCGCGTCGCCCTTGTCGGTCTGCAGGATGCTCAGGTAGGACCACAGAGCCCAGCAGGTGGCCCGCGTAGCTCTCGAAGCTGAGCCTGTGGTCTGCGTAGATGAGCTCGCAGTCCTCGTGGCTCTGCCGGTGGTTCTCGTAGCTGTGTCTTTGGCCTCGTAGCTCAGCTTGCGGTCCTCGAAGAGCCACCGGGGGCTCTGGTAGCTCTTTAGGTGGCTGTAGAGGTTGTGCTTGTGGGCCCCGTTGCTGAGCATGTGTGCCTATACGGCCCGCTGGTGGCCCTGGCAACTCTGGCGGTGGCCGCAGGAGCTCCTGTTTGATGGCTTCGTAGCCCAGTTGGTGCCTCCACTAGCTCAGAAGGTGGTCCTCGTAGCTCAGCTGGTGCCCCTGGTAGCGCAGCAGATGTTCCTCGTGGCTCGGCTGGCTCGTAGCTCTTGCTTGTGGCTGCCGTGCCTCCGCATGCGGTCCTCGTCGCTCCGCCTGCGGCTCTCGTGGCCCTGCCGGTGGCTTTCGCAGCACGGCAGGCGGGTCTTGAGGCTCTTCTGTTGGCCCCCGCTGCTGCGCCTGCAGCCCTCGTGGCTCGGCGTGTGGCCCTCGTGGCACAGTCTGCGGCACTTCGGGGATCCTGGCGGTGGCCCTCGCGGCTCGGCGGGTGGGCCTTGAAGCTCGCTTGGCGGCTCTCGTGGCTGCACGCGTGGTCCTCGTAGTTCCGCTCGTGGTCCCCGACGGTCGTCTGGTGGCCCTGGTAGTCCCGTTGGCGGCAGAGGCCGGGTCGGCTGCCAGGTCGTAGTGTTCCACGTTCTGGGTGTCCCTGTAGTCCTGGCGGCCGTCGCAGCTCCGCGGCCCGTCGTAGTCCTGGAGCTTGGGGTGGTCCTGGGGGCCGTAGGAGTATAGGCCGCTATCGAACAGATGTCGTACTCGTGCTCGTCGTAAGCGGCGCGGTCGTAGTCGTACTCGTCGGCGGCGCGGCCGTTGCCCATTTGGTACCTCCACGACGCGCTTAGTGACCTCTACGGGTTGTTCTGTGGTGTCGTTCCTGGTGTCGGCCTTGGTGGCGTAATAGCGGTGATATTCGTGCGTGGGCTGCCTGTTACGCAGCTCGTTCTCGTGTTTGGGCTGTCTGTTACGCAGCTCGTCCTCGCACTTGGGCTGCATGATATGCAGCTCGTGCTTAGACGCTCTAGCAGGGACAGTCGTAGTAATGATAGTGATGTCGGGTCGAGGCTGCATCCTATGCTGGACGTTGTGCCACCTTCGTTTTTGGGCCGCGTCTTTTCGCGCCGGTGTACCTCTATATGTGGTGGTCTCGGTATCCTTGCTGGCTCGTCTCCACAAATGTGGGTCAGTCTCGTAGCCTTGTAGTTGGACGGCTGGTGGTTGATGTCGTCGTCGCGCCAAGCCTTGGATTCCACTGATTTCGAGGTGTTTCACGTCGTTGTGTTCGCGTGGATCTTGCTGTACATGACGCTGATCTTGGTGGTGATCTTGGCGAGCGCATCGCACGCAGCGCCGTCCGCCGCGTGGCGAATCGCGCGCCCAGGGCATGCACCCTCTCCCGCGGGTGGTGGGGAGCGCCTCCCCCCCGCGGGGACGCAGTGCCAGTCCTGGCGAGAGCCCTTGGGCCCAGGACCCGCCTGCCTCGGGACCAGCCTCCCTCGTGCCGAGGGAGGAGGCCTGATAGGTCTTTTATATTGACCTTCCCCTCCCTCGGCCCCCCCTTCGCCTCACCCTCGGCCTCCCTCTCAGGGCGGTGGGGGGTGATTGCTGGAGCTCGCCGATTGGCACAGCTCGGCCACACGCAGGTCCGAGGGAGGAGGACGAGGAGGAGGAGGAGGCGAGGAGGAAGAGCGTACGGTCTCCGGCAGTGTTG